ACTCAATATCAATTCTTCAAAAATGATGAAATATTTTTTGTCCGTACTGCCTCATAAACAGAGAAGACGGTTCGTGAAAAAGATGAATTCCGTTACAACAGTAATCCATTTCACCACGAACCGTCCGCTCTTAACAAGATGTGTACAAACCGAATGAATATTTAAGAAAATCTCAATTAAAGTATGATCTGTGAGCATTCATAGTTATTTTAATTCAATATTGATTTTTTTTTTGTACTGAATAACAGGCAAATTCGTTTATTGGAAATCAGTTCATTGCATGCAATAATTTGTCTTTTTCTTTTCTTTTTTCTTTTATTTGAAATTTATTAGTTAGTTTATTAGTATTGCTATCTTACTGGACGAAATCAAAATGCTCTTCTTTTAACATTGTCCAATTCTGGATTGATAGTAAATCTTGCTTTCTTTCTTTCTTTGCTTCTTCTTTCTTTGCTTCTTCTTTCTTTGTTTCTTTCTGCCTTCCTTCCTTCCTTTACTTTTTTCGTCTGCCTTCCTTCCTTCTCTTTACATTTTTTCTTTCTTTCTTTCCTCCTTGCTTTCTTTACCAAATTTTCTTCCTTCTTTCTTTCTTTATTTCTTCCGTTCTTTCTTCTTTTTTTAAATTTGTCTGCAGTAATTTCATAAGGCACTTTAAATTAAGAAAATCAGATAAATCAGACATGCATGGAAACAAAGGATTTAGATACACACGTCCATTGCCTGCTTCAAATATTAAAAAAAATAAACAAACATAGATTATTTATCAATTGTGTCTTTTTATCTTTTAATAATCATCATATTATTTCATTCCATAGTATTTGCAACATATTTAACAGAAATATTTACAGACAGAACAAAATCTGAAATAGGCAAGACGAATTACAATTCCTTTAAAAAAAAAATCACACACATTGACATTTTGGCATAATGTTTGTTTAGATCTCATTGAGACAAAAAAGAATGGACATGATGGAATGTTATTTCAATTTTTGTTTTTTTTTGTTTCTTCATATCCAGTCATCAAGAAGTCCTCGTGATTTGACTCTTTATATCAGTTGTATAAAGTAAAACCTTGTCTCTATTAATGAAAAAGTGATATATTGGACATCAAATTAGAGGATTTTAATAATCCTATTCCTCACAACTCTGCATGAAATATATTCAATTATGCACATGTCTTAGGAATATTCAAAAGGATATATAACTTTTCCACATTCTATTCATTTTGATTTCCATAGAATCTTGTTAAACTTCATTGTTTGCAGATGGAAATATCAAAATTTCACCAAGATCTCTTTAGTCAGATTCATCACAATAATGAAATATTTAAAATTATGTATCACTTTTCTTCCATTCATGTAGTTATTCTATTTCCAATGTATACTTCATTGTTATTTTTTTTTAACTACACTATTTACAGATAGAAACATTAAATTCTAGTCCTTGATACATCTCGTATTTTCCATTTCCAAGTTTACTTCATTATGTTATTTCTAAACTGCATTATTGACGGATATAAATATTAAATTTCAACACATCATTTAACAAATGCATTATTTATTTTTATTATTGTAATTATTTCATATCCGTAGTAAATTCAGAGTTCTATTTAAACTGCATTATTTACAGATAAAAAAAGGAATGAGCCAGATACATCTCATAGGAATGTATTATTCCAAAGAAAACATCATTTATCTTCAACACATGTTATCAAATCATTTCATCTTCATATAATTTTTTTCTCTTTAAAGCTGTATCATTTACAGATAAGAAATACCAATGTTCTGAAAGAGCCAGATACATCTCATAGAAATATAATATTGAAAAGAATGTATTATTTCTCATAAATTCATTTAATTATTTCAGTGTATTACATTTTGTTTTTAAAACTGCATTATTTACAGATGGAAATGTTAAAATATCACTTGTCTTGAGTACAATAAATATCATATTGACACAATATTCAAAAGAATTGATTATTTCTCGTCAATGCATTTAATATATTTCAGTGTATTACATTTTGTTTTTAAACTGCATTATTTTCAGATGGAAATGGTAAAATATCACTTGTCTTGAGTACAATAAATATCATATTGACACAATATTCAAAAGAATTGATTATTTCTCGTCAATTCATTTGATAATTTCATCTCTATAGTCTATTCCTTATATTAAAACTTCAATATTTACAGATAAAAAAATAAAATAAAAAAATGAGCCAGCTTATTTCGTAACTATGAATGTAATATCCCAAAGAATGCATCATTCAATACAAATCATTTAATTAATATGTCATTGATATATTATCTCTTGTGCTAGATACATCTCATACCAATGAAATAAGTAATTTTCGTTTCGATGTCATGCAAAAGTATTTTTTAGTCTCAATTGTAATCATTTATAAACAAGTTCTTTTTTTTTTTTAGATTTGATTTTCAACAAAAATTCAAATCACTCATATGAAAATACGCAAAGTATCATAATGACAAACACAGCTTGTCACAATCTAGCAGATTCAACTGCATTATTTACAGATGGAAATGTTAAAATATCACTTGTCTTGAGTACAATAAGTATCATATTGACACAATATTCAAAAGATTGATTATTTCTCGTCAATTCATTTATTATTTCAGTGTATTACATTTTGTTTTTAAACTGCATTATTTACAGATGGAAATGGTAAAATATCACTTGTCTTGAGTACAATAAATATCATATTGACACAATATTCAAAAGAATTGATTATTTCTCGTCAATTCATTTGATAATTTCATCTCTATAGTCTATTCCTTATATTAAAACTTCAATATTTACAGATGAAAAAATAAATAAATAAATGAGCCAGCTTAATTTCGTAACTATGAATGTAATATCCCAAAGAATGCATCATTCAATACAAATCATTTAATTAATATGTCATTGATATATTATCTCTTGTGCTAGATACATCTCATACCAATGAAATAAGTAATTTTCGCTCGATGTCATGCAAAGTATTTTTTTAGTCTCAATTGTGAATCATTTATAAACAAGTTCGTTTTTTTTAAGATTTGATTTTCAACAAAATTGAAATCGCTCATATGAAAATACGCAAAGTATCATAATGACAAACACAGCTCGTCACAATCTAGCAGATTCAACTCTACATTTCAGATATGAACTGGTCAGTGATTACTTTTTATGGAAACAAAGAATATGAAAGCATTAATTAACTGATATCATTTGGGTAGCATAGTTTAGTAGTGAGGCAGCTTATCATAAAAAGCCTGGTGGAGTGGGTGCCAGACTGCAGGTGTAGTGCCGCTGCAGAGGGCCTTGAGATCCTGATATTTACCCAAAGATAGCTTTGGTGGGCCCATTCCTGTAGAGAGGCTCGGGTGTTACTTCAGTGACCTCTTCTACACCTCTCCGTGTCTGGTTTGTCCTGATCACATCAAATTCTTCATCAGTGTGAGAATACTTGAAGTACACGGAATCCACTTCACCTTTCACGACCTTCATAGCCATGAATTTCTTCCAGTCTACGGTTTGTCCACCCTCAGAGGTTCGGACTCGCAGAATACCTTTCTGTTGACCAACAGACTTCCAATCATCAATATCTCTTGATTGGACTTCTACTACATGATAAGGATGGGGTGAAGACGAGCCATCGCACAAATGGTGCTCAATTGAGTCGGTACCATGACTTCTTTCACACGTCTAATGCTTCGTTCTATGACGCTGTGCATGGCATCACCCTCACTTTGTCCGTGGTTTGTAGGGAAGTAATTAACTGTGACCGATTCAACGGACTTAGCCTTTCCGATGAAATGTTGCAGCATTGTTGGGATGATAGAGTTCTTATTTTGACCGACACAGCCATCACAGTAGAACACTACTTGTTTCACACCCCCTCTCATCTAGACTGTTAAGGTACCGATGGACGTGTGAGGCAATTTCACAGGATCCTCTTTTTGTTTCGCACTCGTGTGAAAGAAAGCACCATCCGTCCTTGCTTGCAAGTTCATATATCGTGAAGTTGTAGTTGCTGAGTCTACGTTTGTAGAAAATGTCAGATTGTGGGGACTTCGGCAAGTAAATGACCTGCTCCAGATCGAAAACTGCAGAGACAAATGTGTGGTCAACTGAAGCTCTTTCCTTAGCAAGACTCTTCAACTCTCTTACTTTTTCTTTTTCAGCAATGTGAACTTTGTATGCCCCTGCAATTTCTTCCCTCTCTTTGGGATTCCCACGTCTGTAGGTTTCGCACAAGGGGCACATGTCCTTTTTCGGATGATGGAACTTGATATTCATCTTCTTCAGAACCTTCCTGTAAAGAGATAAAGAAGCACATTCCTCTGTACCTTCTGTAGATGAATTGTACATGCGATACATGATCTCAGGATTGAGATCTTCTGAAAGGTATTCACATCGACTGTTGGCCCGACAATAATGAGATTCTTGACGCGGAAATTGATTAATGTGCCGCTTCACCCCTTCACGTAATAGAGCGTCTCTGTCAGACGTCTGCCTGCCACCCCTTCCTTCACCTTCAAGGCAGCCGTATGGTCTCTTCTTTCCAAGCACGGTCTTCACTTGCCTCTCTGATATACCTAATGTTCCCACGAACATCGCTTTGCATACACGAACTTTAATGCATGGATCACCTGCATTGGGCAGGAAATACGCACATTTTCTGATCTTTCTTGACTTCTTTTCTTGAATCTGTTCGGTGTGCCGTCCAATCCATTCTCTCTGCTTGCTTGTCAGATCAGCAAGGTCATAAAAAGCTGATCTAATAGCTTCACGAGTGTTGCAACTAAATGTGTTGCAACTAAGTCCTCTGAAATGACACTTTTCACATGAGGTTTCGTAGCTAGCAAATCTCCTCGCCGCTTTTAGTTCCTTACTCTTTTCACTCTCATAGCTGTAACCAGCATTTCTCCGTTCTTTGACTAATTGATTTCTACTCTTCACCGTCTTTGGCTGCTCTGGCACTTCCAATGCTCTTTCCCCATCTACTTGAAATGATTCAGGAGACAGTTGACTATTATCAGCTGATTCCTGGGAAGGCTAGCTTCTTCAAGATGCTCTGGAATATCTAATGAGTCGGTCGCATCGGATTGTTTTGATTCCAGAGTCGCCATCAGTACCTGATCTCCGTTCTCTTCAACTCTTGTATCCAATGAGGCTTGGTTTTCAAAGTTTCCTCTTCTTGATTCCATTAACGGCATAACCTCGTCTTCATTGTTCCTTTCTTCTTCGTTGGTGAGCCCTTGGTACTGTGATGCACTTGAACTGATGTCAAGTGGAATTTCACTGAGATTGAATGCAAGATTATGACAAAGGCAATCATCACGTAAGTTAAAATGAAGGAAGCATAAGAAACACAAGCACTCTGGACACGCTGCCCAAACTTCATCAGTACACATGAAATTGTCACATGTTTCAGGATTTCTCTGACCACACTGCATGTTTGGATGGAGCGGAGAATCTGGAGAAGATAAAAAGACAAAGGGAAAACAATGATAGTGAATGTAATGACATAATTTTCGGGACACAGGTAAAGTTATATTGAGCACAACAGAAACAATAAGTGTGATAATAATTGATCAGGATATTGAATAAATGAATAGAAAATCCCTTTTATATTCAGAACACGTACACAATCAATAAAATGAAGTGTGCTTTTTGTCCATTCTAACTGTATCAATATAATTTCACTTTAGTTATTATCATCAGTATAATTTCCTTGTACTGTGGACAGTCCTCTGATTTCTTTATGTTATTATGAATAGTCATGAACTATTATTGGAAGATATTTTTACCTGCATGGCTGTCAGACTGTGTTATCTGGTCACTTGCGATGGATATTGGTTCAGGCAATCCAGATCCACATCCTGTTGAATCTTCAGGAAGTGATGGCGATGATACGGGTAGAGGACCAAGTTTTGTTTCTGGGGTAGGATTACAAAAATTGAATATAAACACTAGTTTTTAACTCTCCGAAGAAGATGCCCCCCCCCCCAAAAAATGAATAAGACTACAATAGTGAAATATACACACTAGTTCCAATGCCTCCCCCCCCCCCCAAATAGAAGACTCATCCCAAACCTGCACCCACCCCTCCCCCCTAAAAAAAGATCTTACAAATGTAGAAGAATCCATTTATAATATTGAACATGCGCTTCGGTCTTTCCTCATTAAGATCTTGTAGGAAAGTTGGTCTAGATTGTTGTTGTTGTTATATTCTTGTACTTTCATAATGCAAACATTCTTATTCATAATTGTAATTAAGTTCATTTGTATATGCATATTCATTATTGTAAATATGGTCATTTTTTCATGCACAAATTCATTATTGTCAATATGTTCTTGTTGAGACTCTCATACTCCCGATCGGGGTTCGATAGAGTTTAATAAAATCTTATCTTATCTTATCTATCAAATTGGGAAAAGGAGTGTAATACCTGCATATTTGTCAGAAAGTCGTGCCAGGGGGATGTCAAATTCCTCATCAGACTGTGTTATCTGGTCACTTGCGATGGATATTGGTTCAGGCAATCCAGATCCACATCCTGTTGAATCTTCAGGAAGTGATGGCGATGATACGGGTAGAGGACCAAGTTTTGCTTCTGGGGTAGGATTACAAAAATTGAATATAAACACTAGTTTTAAACTCTCCGAAGAAGATGCCCCCCCCCAAAAAAAAAATGAATAAGACTACAATAGTGAAATATACACACTAGTTCCAATGCCTCCCCCCCCCCCCCCCCAAATAGAAGACTCATCCCAAACCTGCACCCACCCCTCCCCCCTAAAAAAAGATCTTACAAATGTAGAAGAATCCATTTATAATATTGAACATGCGCTTCGGTCTTTCCTCATTAAGATCTTGTAGGAAAGTTGGTCTAGATTGTTGTTGTTGTTATATTCTTGTACTTTCATAATGCAAACATTCTTATTCATAATTGTAATTAAGTTCATTTGTATATGCATATTCATTATTGTAAATATGGTCATTTTTTCATGCACAAATTCATTATTGTCAATATGTTCTTGTTGAGACTCTCATACTCCCGATCGGGGTTCGATAGAGTTTAATAAAATCTTATCTTATCTTATCTATCAAATTGGGAAAAGGAGTGTAATACCTGCATATTTGTCAGAAAGTCGTGCCAGGGGGATGTCAAATTCCTCATCAGACTGTGTTATCTGGTCACTTGCGATGGATATTGGTTCAGGCAATCCAGATCCACATCCTGTTGAATCTTCAGGAAGTGATGGCGATGATACGGGTAGAGGACCAAGTTTTGCTTCTGGGGTAGGATTACAAAAATTGAATATAAACACTAGTTTTAAACTCTCCGAAGAAGATGCCCCCCCCCCAAAAAAAAAATGAATAAGACTACAATAGTGAAATATACACACTAGTTCCAATGCCTCCCCCCCCCCAAATAGAAGACTCATCCCAAACCTGCACCCACCCCTCCCCCCTAAAAAAAGATCTTACAAATGTAGAAGAATCCATTTATAATATTGAACATGCGCTTCGGTCTTTCCTCATTAAGATCTTGTAGGAAAGTTGGTCTAGATTGTTGTTGTTGTTATATTCTTGTACTTTCATAATGCAAACATTCTTATTCATAATTGTAATTAAGTTCATTTGTATATGCATATTCATTATTGTAAATATGGTCATTTTTTCATGCACAAATTCATTATTGTCAATATGTTCTTGTTGAGACTCTCATACTCCCGATCGGGGTTCGATAGAGTTTAATAAAATCTTATCTTATCTTATCTATCAAATTGGGAAAAGGAGTGTAATACCTGCATATTTGTCAGAAAGTCGTGCCAGGGGGATGTCAAATTCCTCATCAGACTGTGTTATCTGGTCACTTGCGATGGATATTGGTTCAGGCAATCCAGATCCACATCCTGTTGAATCTTCAGGAAGTGATGGCGATGATACGGGTAGAGGACCAAGTTTTGCTTCTGGGGTAGGATTACAAAAATTGAATATAAACACTAGTTTTAAACTCTCCGAAGAAGATGCCCCCCCCAAAAAAAATGAATAAGACTACAATAGTGAAATATACACACTAGTTCCAATGCCTCCCCCCCCCCCCAATAGAAGACTCATCCCAAACCTGCACCCACCCCTCCCCCCTAAAAAAAGATCTTACAAATGTAGAAGAATCCATTTATAATATTGAACATGCGCTTCGGTCTTTCCTCATTAAGATCTTGTAGGAAAGTTGGTCTAGATTGTTGTTGTTGTTATATTCTTGTACTTTCATAATGCAAACATTCTTATTCATAATTGTAATTACGTTCTTTTGTATATACATATTCATTATTGTAAATATGTTCATTTTTTCATGCACAAGTTCATTATTGTAAACATTTTCTTGACGAGACTCTCATACTCCCAAGAACGGGTTAACACTCAGATGATATCAAATTGGGAAAAAGAGGAAAAGGAGAGTAATACCTGCATATTTGTCAGAAAGTCGTGCCAGGGGGATGTCAAATTCCTCATCAGACGATTCTGAATCTTCAAGATATTCTGAATCGAGAACGATTCCTTGCCACAGAGTCCCTTCATAGTCCATGATCACCTCTTTCCCTTTTGTCATCTTCCCTGTCCACTGAAGGAGTGGTGAATGAACAATGTTGTTTGCACCATTCAAATGCCATTGCACCAAAACATCATAGCCTTTATCCGGTCTAAAAGGAATAAAAAAAAGAAAGAGAGATTTCAACAACCTTATTTTCATAACAATTTTGCATACCGGTATGTATTCGGTAATAAACATACATATTAAGCTGTTCCATGAGAGATGAACTGGTAAAGAAATTATAGCCTTATTTTTTATAATTCATGAAGAAATTATTATTCTGCATTAATATTGGCCCAACACTTGAAATTATAAAGTCAAAGACATCACCTATATATTGTTTTTTAACACCATTTCATTATTTATAAATATTTATTCTGGTAAACATAAGAATTCTTACCTTGATCCACTTTTCCCTTTGCTCTTCTTTGGTCTTGGCATACCTGCTTTGTTTTAGATATCTCCTTCTCTAAGTTGCACAGCCACATCTGCGATAATAAAAACAAGAAAAAAATGAGACAAAATATTATAAAAGTCAATGATATACAAATCGGTTTCACAATGATTTGACACATAGGTAGAGATTAAAGTTACAATAATTTTACTACACCATGCATTCAAGTACATAAATAAAAATGTCAACAAGAACATGAACATGAATACCCTGGTCCCTGCCAATTTTTGGGACTGAATAAGACATTTTTTTTGTAATGAAAAAATGGTTAATCTAGATGAAGTCCAACTATTGTTCAGTACATTAATTGTAACTATCTTGATTAGATTACATATAAAATAGAACTTTCAGTTTTGGTCCCCGAAATGGGCAGGGCACAAATGACTTAAGATCTGCTAATGGTGGAGCTCCTAGGTAAAACCTTAACTATCTAGTCCAAATGTTAGATCTAGATAAAATCTATAAGATAGGTTAGTTAGTAACATTATACATCTTAATAATACTAGAAAAAGTTAGGACTAGACCTAGGTCTAGTCAGACTATGGTCTAGCTAGACTCTAGTCTAGATCTACACTAAGACTAAGTTACATCTAGGTCTAATTTGTGTCTTTCTTTGATCAGAAATAGATCTGGTCTAGGCCTAAATCGTCGTCGTTAGTAATAGTATTGTAAAATTTGTAAGATAAAGACAAAGTAGATCCTAGGTCTAGATCTAGAGTTAGACCTAAATTACTAGTGTTGAATTGCTCTTGTTCTAGTTTTTCCTGTGTTTATCTAATCTACAGACAGTATTCATTAAATAATCTTAGAAAGCAGATATCTTCAGTAGATCTGAAGTTAGTTCTTATTATCAACAGTCAGACAGGATTTCGTGTTAGGTCCAACCAAAAACTGAATAGGCGGGACTGTAACATAATTTTTCGTGAGAATTTAATGATAAAATGAACTTTTTAGAAAAATATAATTGCTATAACCGAAGGAAGAATCTCTTATTGTTTTTTGAAAATATTTTATGTTTTAGAAAATAGATCTTAGAGCATATACTTACGAAATAATTGGATCCGGGCAAACTTTCCAGGGAAGCGGCCGCTTCGTGGTGCAGCAGACGGATCAATTTACGTCAAATTCTTCACCACGAAGTGTCCTGAGCGCGCGAGCGCGAGAGAGGACGGTTCGTGGTACAGAAATATCCAATTTATTGCAAGAGGACGCTTTACGATGACGTCGTTATTACGTAACCGCGCAATGTTAGACTCTGAAATTTTCACAAAATGTAGGTATTTATTAGTACATGAAAAAAATGCAAAAAATAAAAATTGAAAAAAATGCCGAATTTGGCCAGAGAGGACGGTTCGTGTAACGGGTAACGAAAAGTTGTAAAATGAGTGATAACGTGGTTGATATTTAGAATGTTAATATTTATGATTTTATATCCAAGGGCTGACTGGAGTGTACCCACCCCCCCCCCCCCCTCGCCCCCCTCCCATGCAATGTACGTTAGTTGTTGCCATTGATCCACAGCGAATGTCAAAATAGATTGACTCCCCACTAGTTTTCGTACATCAAGCGTGTATAATAAATACGTTCAACTGGCAGCTTGCCAGTGATTCATCGGATTCAAGCATGATTCAAGAATCGCTGGTGAATTAATAGCCTTTAGTTGCAGACAGCACAAAATATCAGGACACGTCCCACACATCAAGAACACACACACACTCACACACACACACGCACAAGAAGAAGAAAAAACATTAATCACTGTTTATCTTTTTGTCTTCTAATCAGCATGGAATTTTCATAAAAGCGCCTGCGAATGTGATACACTGGGTTTTATTTTCGAGATGGGGGGAATACTTGTCCATATTTTTTTTCTTCGGATTTGTGCCCCCCCCCCCCCCCTGCCGTGAGAGATTTCTGGATCTGCCGCGGTGTGCATGAGTATTATTATACAAAGTTACTTGAACTCAGAGACCCGAATGTATACAAGAACAATGTGGGGGTAATAATGGATCGTCAGTATTTTGATGCCTCTAATCAAGTGATCTATGTGATGGAGTTAATGCAATTGAGATAAGAATATACTTTTTATGGTGGACAGTTGCTAAAATCGATTTTGATTTATCATTATTGATTTACCCCCCCCCCCCCCTGTTTCTCAACTACTGGATACGCCACTGGGTTAATTTAATGCGCAAAACTATAGGGGAACAATATTCTATCCTGAGTTGGCGCACTTAAATGTCATGCTGATCAATCGCTTTGATAGCTTCGCGGTTCAACTAATGCACCTCAAATGATTCATTTGAGAGCCAGAAGGGCGTTACTTTTATACATTGAATGAGCGTCCTTCTAGCTCTATTAAAGCAGACGAGGAATTTATCATTGCTCATCATTAAGTTTTGTCAAATAAGATTACTGTAGTTTTGGTCACCGCACTTGGATCATGTGCGCCCGGCTCCCAAATTGAAGTTCAAGAACAATCATCTTGATTAATAACGATGTTTACCGTATATCAACTTTTATCAAGTTATCGTTAGGGGCAGCGATGGAGATTATGGGTGTGTGTGGAGGGAGTGGGAGGGGTGTTAGTTTACATCTCCGTTCCAAAATTCTCTTGGCAAATTCAATTTTTCAGCCAATGTCGGCAAACATATAAAAAGTAACGCCTTTCTTGTCTTTGTTCCGCTTGCTGCTAATATTTTTGCCAACTTAGTCGGCAAATTTTGTCCACCCCCCCCCCCCCCCCCCCCCCCCGCTCTAAATGGTCTAGTTACGTCCTTGTACTCGCCCCTCGATCTTGTCTCGCACAAGCAGCTGTAGAATGGTGATCACCCGTTTCACGAACCGTCCTCTCTGGCCAAATTCGGCATTTTTTTCAATTTTTATTTTTTTGCATTTTTTTCATGTACTAATAAATACCTACATTTTGTGAAAATTTCAGAGTCTAACATTGCGCGGTTACGTAATAACGACGTCATCGTAAAGCGTCCTCTTGCAATAAATTGGATATTTCTGTACCACGAACCGTCCTCTCTCGCGCTCGCGCGCTCAGGACACTTAGACTGTGGGGCAAGGGCCAGTTAACCATCTAAAAAAAAAGTTTCGTAGTCCCATCTTTGGCAGAGAAAACTAACTATACCAAATGATTGTGATGAAGTTGCTGATGAGAAAACACCTTTGTTCTCCAAATTTCGTACACCCGTTGATGAGATAACATGCTAATTAGTTTAATTGGATTTTAACAAGATTTCCTTGAAAAAGACTAGCGCCAACTATGGTAAATAGTCCATTTTGCTGATTCAAAGTTGCTATTTCTTGATTCTTTTTTGCAAAACATTTATTTCAGACCTCTATGAGACTGTTCGGGTGTGATTTTTCTGCGCAATTAATTTAATCCGCTAATTAGTTTTATTGGATTTTAACAAGATTTCCTTGAAAAAGACTAGCGCCAACTATGGTAAAATAGCCATTTTGCTGATTCAAAAGGCATTCAAATTTGCTGTTTCTTGATTATTTTTTGCAAAACATTTATTTCAGACCTCTATGAGACTGTTCGGGTGTGATTTTTCTGCGCAATTAATTTATATTTATGCTGTTGGTGAACTTGAAAACACTAATTGCAATTTTCCACGTTTTTTTAATATTTCAGCACGTCATCAAGACGAGTTTTGTTAAGCCCAAGTTATGTAATTTCTTGCATCTTGTTTAAGTTACCATCTGTTTGTATATTCATGTCACTCATTTAACTCTTCCTTTTTTCCCTATTTCTCTCTCTATCTCTCTCTCTCTCTCTCATCACACACGTTTTTTGTTCTCATGTCTCCTCTTAAAAATCTCTTTTTCTTCCCCTGTTGTTTTCTCCTTACTCTTCCATTCTCTTTCATCATAATTTACCTTATTATATTCAACATGTCTTATTGAGTTTCATCAACTGTGCAAACTCCTTCCAATCAAATCATCAATATTGTGGCTTTTAGTTTATTTTCCACTTCCCCGAAAAATATATTGCTGTTCAAAACTTTGTTAATACTAATACTAGGTAGTACTAGCAACACTGCTCATGGTCTGCATAGCATCAGTTTAGAACAATACAAATTTCAAAGAGAAACCTAACAACAAATTCATACCAAAACTGCCAAATAAATTATATTCTTCTCTGTTTAATTTGATTTCATTCATTACGTAAAATGTATTACCGTACTACCATTTTGTCAATGACATTTATCTACAAGTAGATTACCGGGTACTTTTTCTAAAACCGGTACTTGCCACTGCCAGTGAAATCAGAACTATGGTACATGTATGTTGTAATTTACAAATGCAATTTAACTTGAACTGCAAAGATTGTTAACAGTTTTTACATAAATATTGATGGAATTGAAATAAATTATGAAACATTGATAAGATGTGTCTAGTCATTTGTTGTCTTTTTTTTTTTGGTTCAAAGAAAATGTCCTAAAATATGTTGATAGAAAAATTGCCAAAAAGCTGTTACTGTTGAGGAATTCATAAATTTTACATATTTCGATTAGAACAAGTGTCCAAAGAGTGTGATGGAAAGTTTGAAACGACCCATACATTTGAACGTAATAAAGTTTTATATTTGACTATAAATCTTGGCAATGCTTCAACATGGCAAAATACATGTATGCATAATAAATAATAAATGTCCATATTATTATTATTATTATGAAACAAATGAGCATGCAATGCAAGTACAATAGTACATTACTGTAAGTGATTACTTAGTAAACATTTTTCCAGCTCTGAAATTATATCTTTACATATATTTAGTATATTCTTATATTACAGTTGCACATAATGTATATGTAAAACACCCCAGTCGACCCATACATTTGTATATGTCTATTCATGAAAGGTTGGTTATTTTGTACATAATTTACAAAGGAACCATAGGGATATAAAAATCTTTTTTTTTTAATCCCCAAATTGAATAAGAAATATCAGAGAAAAAGTTTCACAATGATCTTGCCTTTGTTCATTTTAATTTTATCATATATATTTGTTGTTATCAATAGAACCAGTTAATGTTGAAAAATCTGCTGATAAACAGCAAAAAATATTGCATACATCTAGTGCTCAATATGAACGCGTAAATTTTATGCTGATGGTCTCAAATAGGTCCAACAAATCAAAGCTGGCAGATGAGCGCCGAGATTGTAGACTCCTACACAGCTTCTTAGGTTGTGAAGGGATATCAGATGGATCTGGGGGAAAAAGAATATAAAACACTAGGTCAGAAACAAAGCTCATATCAAAAATTGGCGATAGCTTCGCTGTCATTTCAAAAATTTCAGATAGCTTTGGCGTCTTTTAAAAATTCTTTAAATGTTTCAAAAACAAAAATTCATATTAGTCTACAAGTCATTTCGAAAATTGGCAATAGCTTCGCCGTCTTTTCTATTTTAAAATTAAAATTGTTGATACTGATAGCTTGACAGCCGCCATGTCTATCTTCATGTTAGAAAAAGTGCCCCTTGTCTAAATATGCTTTCTATTTTGACCCCTATTGAGTGTGCAACTATAATGGCTTCATGCACTGATTACAAAAAAATGTAAACAACACACCACATCCCAGCACTAAATAAACCAGTTTAAAATAATGCTGTTTTGACCAGGACAATAAGTTAAACTAACTAGGAAGGCATGTCTAAAGTTAAGTAAAGCCTGGCTCAATGCGTCCAACTTGTCCGACATTTTTTTTGTTTTCCATTAGGCCTATTATTATAATTTACAGCTAAGGAGGGTCTACATGTACGTACATGATTACATCAATGACATAACAAACAAAATTGATGTCAACTCACAGAGGCATTGTAAACGATTCAATCAACTGACAGACTTCATCATTCAAGCTCCATCATGCATGCATAAAGGGCCTAAATCTAGGCCTAGCCCATAGGCCTAGGCCTAGAGCCTAGAGCCTAGAGGGTCTAGAGTAAAGGAGCCCGTAATCGGCCAGCTCCCGTTTTCGGCCGATTGGTTGGATACAAGGTAAAATCACTCTAAAATACATCGCATAATAGCATAACACATATCCCACACATACCATACCATGCCAGTGTCACTGAAGAACCACATTTGCAATGGAAAATATATCCTAAAATATCACATTTTAGCGATGTAATCGCCGGTCCCGCTACCCAAATCTGAAAAATCGAGTATCTTACGCGTGTCTGTAAGAAATATGGGTACCATAAAATGAGCTTTATTTCAAGTATTTTTCAGATTTAAAGCCCGATTTTGTGCTAGTCGCAAGCTCAAAAGTATGTCATCGCATGTATTAAATCAATGCAGCCGCACACCGCGACGCACACACGATATCTCTATCTAATTCAGATTCCAACTTCCGATCACCGCTGTGCCCGTCTTCGGCCAGGCGAGCACCAGGGAGCTCCGGCGTGGGATACCTGCTCCGCCCGCTTGTGCTGTACATCAGCGCGGAAACGCACGGCGCGCGCGAGCGCTTCCTATTGACTTTGTACATGCGGCCGTAAACTGAAACGCTCGGCCGATAACGGGCTCCAAAACAGTGAAAATTGAAATGGATATTGTCATGGCAATTCGTGATTTTTTTCTGGGATTCTTTTTTTGTGTAAATAATAATAATATTTGCTTCATGATTTGAACAAGAAATGATAATAAATAGGAAGTAAAGAGTCCTAAAAATAGGATTTTGTCTTAAGTGGCCGAAAACGGGCTACTTTACTCTAGACTCTATTCTCTAGATCTAATTGTTTTTTTTTTTAATGAGGCTAGAGCTAGATCAAAGTAAAGGCAGGGCCTTAATTTTTGCTGGGTTATCATGGTTATCATGGTTATTGCAAACAAAGAAATTGAAACTCACCTTCAAATTCAGTCTTGTTAGAATCTCGAGGTATTTTACGGAGAAAAGTGCAAAATTGAGACGGATTTCCTTGCCAATGTCGCCGGTATTGAACCGTATACATACAGCGACAGTACCAGTGCAGCGCAAATTACAACATTGTCATTTGCAATGCACCACTGGTACTGTCGCCGTATACAACAACCGTGAAGGCACGTATACGGGCGACATTGGCAAGGAAATCCGTCGCAATTTTGCTCTTTTCTCCGTCCATATTTTTCAAAATATCAGCAGAAGCAAAAGCTTTGGACCATTTTGTGTCTGTAAATTCTTTCAAAACGACATCATTCACAGTCGGGAAGTGAATAAAACACCTCTTTATCTCTGTATCGGTGACGAAACTTCATCGGTGTCATAATTATGGTTGTTAGATGTTTTTATGTAGCGAACGAGGACAATGACGTAGGGAAAATCCCGCCTCGTGATTGGTTGAATTGGACACACCTCCGATTTCCCGGGATATTACCCACGATTATTAGGAGGCAACATAATTATTATCTTTAATTAGTTTTCACGAAAAACCGTAAAGAAAATGAGGAGAACAAATGGTAAATATGTTTGTAATAATTTTCTTTATATTTTCATACTGGTTTGGTCGACTGCCACTGATGGGACTACGAAACAACACAATACAGTGACTAAGTCACTGTATTGTGTTGTTTCGTAGTCCCATCAGTGGCAGTCGACCAAACCACCCAGATAACAATACGACGTTACGCCAACGTGGGGCCAACGTAAGCTGTTACGTTGGTCCAACGTCGCCAACATGATGTTGGGCCCACGGCTTTCTTGCCGGTGGGCCAACGTTGGCCCGACAGTGACAAAATGACATTAAGCCAACATCGGGCCAACGTTATGCCGACCCCTATCCGACCATATGTGCCGATGTCCTCCCGACATTGAACCAACGTTATGCCAACCTCTTTTCCACCGTATGCCGACGTCTTTCCGACATTGGACCAACGTCGTCCCAACCCTTTTTTAACCATGTGCCGACGTACGACCAACGTTATGCCAACCCCTATCCCACCATGTGCCGACGTTGTTCCGACATTGGATAAACGTTATGCCAACCCTTATCCCACCATGTGCCGACGTCTCCTCGACATTGGCCCAACGTTATACCAACCCCTATCCAACCATTTGCCGACGTAGTTCCGACATTGGACCAACGTTATGCCAACCCCTATCCCACCATGTGCCGACGTCGTGGGCTGTTACGTTGCGCCATCGTCGTCAATGTGATGTTGGGCCAACGGCTTTCTTGCCGGTGGGCCAACGTTGGCCCGACAACGACGAAATGACATTAAGCCAACATCGGGCCAACGTCCCCCCGACGTATGACCAACGTCATGTCAACCCCTAATCCACCATATGCCGACATAGGACAAACGTAATGCCAACCCCTTTTCCACCATGTGCCGACGTCTCCCTGACGTAGGACCAACGTAATGCCAACCCCTTTTACACTATGTGCCGACGTCTCCCCGACGTTGTCCTAACATAATGCCAACCCTTTTCCCACCAAGTGCCGACCCCTCCTCCACCATGTGCCAATGCTAGACCAACGTTATGCCAACCTCTTCTCCACCATTTGCCGACGTAGAAGCAACGTTATGCCAACCCGTATCCCACCATGTGCCGACGTTGTACCTCCCCTTTCCAGTTCATGCCAACATTCTTCTGACATTACCAACACCAACTCAAAAACATATTCACACCAACATCAGTCGTCCGTTCATAAGAACATCGCCAAGATCATACTACATCGGACATGTACAATCATTCAAACACATGCATCACAACGTGACAAGGAAAAGCCAAGTAGTTTAAGATTGGATTAAATAAATAAACAGAGCAAAATCCACAAAATGAAGATAGTAACAATTTCATCAAAATTAGACTGAATTTTAGAAAAGTTCATTATAGAACTCGACTTAGATCCCGCTGGAAGATATGTATAATAACAATATTGAAGCAAGAGGGACATGTTATTTTAATTTCGTCATGTCTATTTTGTACATGTACATTTTAATCACTATCAAAACTTGATAACAACTTATTTGTCCCATTTTAATGAAAAGTTCACCATCTTGCTTCTTAGAATTTGCTCTGAATACATCCCCCTCCCTCCAAAACAAAAGAACAAGGAAAATAAACTGATTTTGTGATAAAACATACTTTATTTTATGTGTAATAAACAAACTGTTGTAAATGTGAATACAATTATTGTACATCTTTCTTTTGTATTTTCGTTTGAATTCGAAAAAGATGTAAACATAGTTTCAAGTTCAAGGTATCTCAATGTGTCACAATATAGGCCTACTATCAATGAATGCTAGGACGATAGGAGCTGTTATAAAATGAATTATCGCTTACACGTAACACAACATAACATACTGAAATTCATTGTACGAATATAATAAACAATCCTCACAACTTCCCGAGTAAAACAAAACAAACTTTCTGGCAGACGAACACGATTGCTTATGACAAGATTCCTCTACATATGTACAGCACAAAAATATAAAGAAATTAATAAAGTGTCCACCATTTGCATACCAAAAACTAGGCAATTAATGTAAACAATGTTCCATAAAAAATAAAAAATACAATTCAGAGAAATTGCCAACATTTTTGATGCTTAGGCATTTCAGAGATGCTGATACATTTCGTCGCCATATCTATTGTTAACACATCTACAAACAGTTTTTTTTTAGGAGGGATAGTATACATTGCTTGAATGTGTGAAGTAAAGCAATCGCTAAATGTTTATATAACAAGAGAGGAAATTTGAAAGTGAAGAAAGAGCAGAGCTTGTAAAGGGGAAAACACAAGTTTCTTCACTCTGATATACCACTTTCAATATTTCTTTAAATTGAGAAGAAGGTAGTACGAAGAACATTCAGTCACTTAGATATATGAAACATTTTTTTTCTTACCTTTGACATTCTTTATAGCATGCATTTAGTTGACACGTTATACAGGCATTCAAATCAATTACGACCTTCTTCGACTCATGGTATAGCTCTCTTTTTAAAATTGGGCCATTAGTGAAATCATCACAATAAATAACAAGTAAAGATGCATAGCACACTATTTAATAACAAAAGTTATTGTTTATGTTTGTGTACAAAACATAATGCCTGCAGAGCTGGCTAGCAAGCACCGTAGCTTGCCTAAGCGGAGATCGTTCTTGATATAACATCACTAATCCTTTGGTCAATCATTCCGAGAAACTCTGAGAACTGTAAGGGGCGGGGTCCACCATTAGACGAGCAACTTGGAGAGGTTTTCCAAAAATTGTAAAAAATATAAGGAGGCATTTATTTATGAAACAATTGTTATTATGTTGCTTTAAAAGGGTCTTGATACAAGACATAAAAGTTTTAATTTCCTAAGGCAATGGACCTTTAAAGAACGGGTTAGTCGGAATCAAAATCTTGTCTAGCTTGTGGTGGTACAACTTCGACATCTGCGGCAAAAAAAAAGAAGAAGAAAGAAACCAAACAAGATTTAAAAGCAGATCATGGAAACATCACCTTGAAATAGTACGGATATTAATCAAATAGTACGGCATTCAAGGGAGGTAGTCCTGAGTGGCACATCCTCCCTAGTTTTGATGAAATTTCATGGATAGAAGTACTTTTTCATGAAAATAACTTCGTTCAAACTTTAGAGCGAATGACCCAGACGTATGGAAATTAGAAAGGAATGGATTTCTTTTATTTTGTCTTGTTTAATTAGAATAGCATCAAACACTCTTCTTAACAAAGGAAATATACATTTGAGGTAAAATGGCAGTAATATTCTTCAATAGAAAGAACCAATTTATAGTATCTGTTTGCTCAGTGTTGAGATGCTTGATTGATAACAGTTTAAAGCCCCTCTTAAGTGTTGGATCCCAAAATTAGGCAAAGAATAGATGGCACAATCTCACTTAAATGGTATGATGTAAAAGAGGATGTCATTAAACCCGGACACTTCTGCAAATAGAATATTGCCCTAACAAATGTGTTTGAAGTAGAATATGGATGAAAGAATACAAAATGTGCGTTTTCTGCATACAACACAAAACCCTTAGTTAGTAAGTTTGTATTCTTTCTAATTTTTAGGACAAATTTTTGAAGAAGAGTGGCATTTTCTTTCACATCATTATAACATTGAAGTGAAATGTGAAGCTCCCAATACTTTTTTTTGTACTTATGTAAGCTCCCAATACTTGAGAGAGCTCGAGGGGCTTCAAAGTAGAAACAAAAACACAAAGCTATATCGTTAGTTGCTTATACAAGAAACAAATCAATTGACTGTGTTTTGTTTTTTGTGGCACCCTGCATTCAGAATTGTTTCCCAAAAATACTGCTATAAGCAGTATTTCAAGATTTGTTGTTGTTGAATAGTTTTGTAAGTGATCACAATGCAGTTTCTCAATATAATCAGGAAAAAGATACTAGCATCCGTTAGCAGCTATGTCCTACACAAACATACATTAATCCAGTACATTTGTACTTTGTGTGCAGGGCACAACTATAACGAATACTAAGAAGTGCTATCCTGTCTACATGTATAACTAAATACAAAATGAATAAAATGCCAAATGACATACCCATATTTCTGAATGTTGAGGTCAATGGGGTCGTTGGGGTCGACAGTGTTCTGGAGGTTGATGGGGTCGATGTCGAAGGGGTCCTCGACTCCTCGGTGCTGTTGATGCTGTTCTGGATGATCGAGGTAGGGGTAGCTGGATCTGAACGGGTAGAGGAATCTGGAATTTGTTGTAAAGTTGACGATATGAAATGCAGGATTTCATATTTGAATTTCAGAATTGTAGGGATTATGGGAGAAAAAAGTATTGGGATTTGGAAGAGCTATATAGAATTGAATGTATTAATAAAGAACGTCAGAATTTTTGAAAATAAATAATTAGAATATTTACCTTCGGTTCAAATTATAGCAATTTAATATACATGTGCATAAACAATAAAAACTAATTTGAAAATGAGAATAAAAATGCAGCAATAATCAAATTTGTGAATGAAAATTGTGAATGAAAATTATGGGATCGATCAGTGTTACCCCCGCCCCCAATATTTTTTCCTATTTACTATTTGATCAAATTGAGGTTCTTGGCCAATTGTGACTTTAAATGATTGCAAATGCCAAAATGAGGGTAATTCCCACCAGCTACCTCTTTCACATCACACTCACAATCCACTAAATGTGTTGGTACAAAGTTCTTGCATATTTTGGCAGACTTGGCACACTCCCTTGTAAGATTTCAGGAGGCTAGAAACATGTACTAGCGGATCGATATCTTAATTCACAGCCCAATCTCGTAATTTATTCCCTTTCGAACTGAATCATCATCAGCATATATTGAGCTACTACAGAGTATAGTATAGACCTACTTCTAAATCTGAAAGTATCAGAGACTATAATATCATTTAGATATGCATTAAAAAAAATGATGCGTCTTCCCATTCAGCTCTATTTGATTCAATTGGTCTTTCCAACAATGCATCAGCACCTTCAACACTTGTAACACCAACAGATTCACAATCATTTGATTCATGGTCGATATTGCATATTGGGATGAACATCATCACTGTCACGGACGCTGCAACATGATGCATCAATACATCACCTAGGTCTAACTCTAAGTCAGGAACATATTAACATTTATCACGGCAAACACTCAATGCATCTGATGCCGACACTTCGGCCCCCATCATAGCCATCATAGCCATCACTCACACTTCAATTGCACGCAGCGGGTGTGCATGCTAAGCATACGACGAGCGGTACACTCGTACTCATGCACTTTCACTTTCATTTGGACATGGAATTATCAATGATTACTTTAACAATTTCTCATGCTATTTCCCTCGCTTTGTGACGGGGAGTTCTCACACTATACAATTTATCAGTTTCACGCGACATGCTCACAAAAATAACGTTGAAAGAGAAAGAAAATCATTCATTTACCATGCAGTGTTGGTACTCCCCGGCAACTGATCCAGACAAATGGACAGGATATGGCTGACGTACGTTGCAATTGCATGAGCACATGGGCATGCGCACGCATGCAATTTTTTTTACCCGGATGTAGCGGTACTAGGTCGTATTTGCTACGTTGGCCCAACGTCATATAGCCAACCAATATATACATGCACTATTTATCAGTAAAGATGGAGACGATATAGACCAACGTTAAGCCAAGGTTGGCCCAACGTCGCGTATATTAGCCAACATATCCACCATTTCTCAGTAAAATTTGAAACGATGGACCAACATTGAGCCAACGTTAATAGCCAAACGTCGAATAGCCAATATTAACAACCACAATTTATCAGTAATAATTGAGACGATGGACCAACGTTCAGCCAACATTGGCCCAACATCGAATGGCCAGCCAAAAGCCAACATTTAACATTTAAAATTGAGACGATGGACCAACGTTCAGCCGACGTTAGCCCAACGTCGAATAGCCAACCCAAAGCCACCATTTAAAAAAAAAAATTGAGACGATGGACCAACATGAAGCCAACATTGGCCCAACGCCAAATAGCCAACCAATAGCCAACATTTATAAGTAAAAAAATTAAGACGATAGTCCAACTTTCAGCCCACATTGGCCTAACGTCGATTAGCCAACCAAACGCCAACAGTTATCAGTAATATTTGAGACAATGGACCAACGTTCAGCCAACATTGGCCCAACGTCGAATAGCCAACCAATAGCCACCATTTATCAGTGTAAATGGCGACAATGGACCAACGTTGAGCCAACTTTAGCTCAACGTCGAATAGCCAACCAATAGCCACCATTTATCAGTAAAAATAGTGACAATGGACCAATGTTCAGCCAACATTGGCCTTACGTCGAATAGCCAACTAATAGCCACCATTTATCAGTGAAAATGGCGACAATGAGCCAACGTTAGCCCAATGTCGAATAGCCAACCAAAAGCCAACATTTATCAGTAATAAATGAGACAATAGACCAACGTTCAACCAACATTGGCCCAACGTCGAATAGCCAACCAATAGCCAACATTTATCAGTGATAATTGAGACGATGGACCAACATTAAGCCAACATTGGCCAAACGTCGAATAGCCAACCCGAAGCCACCATTTATCAGTGAAAATGGCGACAATGGACCAACATTGAACCAACAATAGCCCAACGTCGAATAGCTAACCAAAAGCCACCATTTATCAGTGAAAATGGCGACAATAGACCAACGTTCAGCCAACATTGGCCCAACGTCGAATAGCCAACCAATAGCCATCATTAATCAGTGAAAATGGCGACAATGGACCAACGTTCAGCCAACATTGGACCAACGTCGAATAGCCAACCAATAGCCACCATTTATCAGTGAAAATGGCGACAATAGACCAACGTTCAGCCAACATTGGCCCAATGTCGAATAGCCAACCAATAGCCATCATTTATCAGTGAAAATGGCGACAATGGACCAACGTTCAGCCAACATTGGACCAACGTCGAATAGCCAACCAATAGCCACCATTTATCAGTGAAAATGGCGACAATGGACCAACGTTCAGCCAACATTGGCCCAACGTCGAATAGCCAACCAATAGCCACCATTTATCAGTGAAAATGGCGACAATGGACCAACGTTCAGCCAACATTGGCCCAACGTCGAATAGCCAACTATATAGCCACCATTTATCAGTAAAAATGGCGACAATGAGCCAACGTTAGCCCAACGTCGAATAGCCAATCAATAGCCAATATTTATCAGTGATAATTGAGACGATGGACCAACATTTAGCCAACATTGGCCCAACGTCGAATAGCCAACCCAAAGCCACCATTTATCAGTGAAAATGGCGACAATGGACCAACGTTCAGCCAACAATGGCCCAACGTCGAATAGCCAACCAAAAGCCAACATTTATCAGTAAAAAGGGCGACAATGAGCCAACGTTAGCCCAACGTCGAATAGCCAATCAATAGCCAATATTTATCAGTGATAATTGAGACGATGGACCAACATTTAGCCAACATTGGCCCAACGTCGAATAGCCAACCCAAAGCCACCATTTATCAGTGAAAATGGCGACAATGGACCAACATTAAACCAACAACAGCCCAACGTCGAATAGCCAACCAAAAGCCACCATTTATCAGTGAAAATGGCGACAATGGACCAACGTTCAGCCAACATTGGCCCAACGTCGAATAGCCAACCAATAGCCATCATTTATCAGTGAGAATGGCGACAATGGACCAACGTTCAGCCAACATTGGACCAACGTCGAATAGCCAACCAATAGCCACCATTTATCAGTGAAAATGGCGACAATGAACCAACGTTCAGCCAACATTGGCCCAACGTCGAATAGCCAACCAATAGCCACCATTTATCAGTGAAAATGGCGACAATGGACCAACGTTCAGCCAACATTGGCCCAACGTCGAATGAGCCAACCAATAGCCACCATTTATCAGTAAAAAATGGCGACGATGGCCCAACGATTAGCCAACGTTGGCTTGCCGACTGCGACCCTGCCGACCATGGCCGACGTTGGCCCAACGCCGTATTGTTATCTGGGCAGTATGAAAATATAAAGAAAATTATTACAAACATATTTACCATTTGTTCTCCTCATTTTCTTTACGGTTTTTCGTGAAAACTAATTAAAGATAATAATTATGTTGCCTCCTAATAATCGTGGGTAATATCCCGGGAAATCGGAGGTGTGTCCAATTCAACCAATCACGAGGCGGGATTTTCCCTACGTCATTGTCCTCGTTCGCTACATAAAAACATCTAACAACCATAATTATGACACCGATGAAGTTTCGTCACCGATACAGAGATAAAGAGGTGTTTTATTCACTTCCCGACTGTGAATGATGTCGTTTTGAAAGAATTTACAGACACAAAATGGTCCAAAGCTTTTGCTTCTGCTGATATTTTGAAAAATATGGACGGAGAAAAGAGCAAAATTGCGACGGATTTCCTTGCCAATGTCGCCCGTATACGTGCCTTCACGGTTGTTGTATACGGCGACAGTACCAGTGGTGCATTGCAAATGACAATGTTGTAATTTGCGCTGCACTGGTACTGTCGCTGTATGTATACGGTTCAATACCGGCGACATTGGCAAGGAAATCCGTCTCAATTTTGCACTTTTCTCCGTAAAATACCTCGAGATTCTAACAAGACTGAATTTGAAGGTGAGTTTCAATTTCTTTGTTTGCAATAACCATGATAACCATGATAACCCAGCAAAAATTAAGGCCCTGCCTTTACTTTGATCTAGCTCTAGCCTCATTAAAAAAAAAAACAATTAGATCTAGAGAATAGAGTCTAGAGTAAAGTAGCCCGTTTTCGGCCACTTAAGACAAAATCCTATTTTTAGGACTCTTTACTTCCTATTTATTATCATTTCTTGTTCAAATCATGAAGCAAATATTATTATTATTTACACAAAAAAAGAATCCCAGAAAAAAATCACGAATTGCCATGACAATATCCATTTCAATTTTCACTGTTTTGGAGCCCGTTATCGGCCGAGCGTTTCAGTTTACGGCCGCATGTACAAAGTCAATAGGAAGCGCTCGCGCGCGCCGTGCGTTTCCGCGCTGATGTACAGCACAAGCGGGCGGAGCAGGTATCCCACGCCGGAGCTCCCTGGTGCTCGCCTGGCCGAAGACGGGCACAGCGGTGATCGGAAGTTGGAATCTGAATTAGATAGAGATATCGTGTGTGCGTCGCGGTGTGCGGCTGCATTGATTTAATACATGCGATGACATACTTTTGAGCTTGCGACTAGCACAAAATCGGGCTTTAAATCTGAAAAATACTTGAAATAAAGCTCATTTTATGGTACCCATATTTCTTACAGACACGCGTAAGATACTCGATTTTTCAGATTTGGGTAGCGGGACCGGCGATTACATCGCTAAAATGTGATATTTTAGGATATATTTTCCATTGCAAATGTGGTTCTTCAGTGACACTGGCATGGTATGGTATGTGTGGGATATGTGTTATGCTATTATGCGATGTATTTTAGAGTGATTTTACCTTGTATCCAACCAATCGGCCGAAAACGGGAGCTGGCCGATTACGGGCTCCTTTACTCTAGACCCTCTAGGCTCTAGGCTCTAGGCCTAGGCCTATGGGCTAGGCCTAGATTTAGGCCCTTTATGCATGCATGATGGAGCTTGAATGATGAAGTCTGTCAGTTGATTGAATCGTTTACAATGCCTCTGTGAGTTGACATCAATTTTGTTTGTTATGTCATTGATGTAATCATGTACGTACATGTAGACCCTCCTTAGCTGTAAATTATAATAATAGGCCTAATGGAAAACAAAAAAAATGTCGGACAAGTTGGACGCATTGAGCCAGGCTTTACTTAACTTTAGACATGCCTTCCTAGTTAGTTTAACTTATTGTCCTGGTCAAAACAGCATTATTTTAAACTGGTTTATTTAGTGCTGGGATGTGGTGTGTTGTTTACATTTTTTTGTAATCAGTGCATGAAGCCATTATAGTTGCACACTCAATAGGGGTCAAAATAGAAAGCATATTTAGACAAGGGGCACTTTTTCTAACATGAAGATAGACATGGCGGCTGTCAAGCTATCAGTATCAACAATTTTAATTTTAAAATAGAAAAGACGGCGAAGCTATTGCCAATTTTCGAAATGACTTGTAGACTAATATGAATTTTTGTTTTTGAAACATTTAAAGAATTTTTAAAAGACGCCAAAGCTATCTGAAATTTTTGAAATGACAGCGAAGCTATCGCCAATTTTTGATATGAGCTTTGTTTCTGACCTAGTGTTTTATATTCTTTTTCCCCCAGATCCATCTGATATCCCTTCACAACCTAAGAAGCTGTGTAGGAGTCTACAATCTCGGCGCTCATCTGCCAGCTTTGATTTGTTGGACCTATTTGAGACCATCAGCATAAAATTTACGCGTTCATATTGAGCACTAGATGTATGCAATATTTTTTGCTGTTTATCAGCAGATTTTTCAACATTAACTGGTTCTATTGATAACAACAAATATATATGATAAAATTAAAATGAACAAAGGCAAGATCATTGTGAAACTTTTTCTCTGATATTTCTTATTCAATTTGGGGATTAAAAAAAAAAGATTTTTATATCCCTATGGTTCCTTTGTAAATTATGTACAAAATAACCAACCTTTCATGAATAGACATATACAAATGTATGGGTCGACTGGGGTGTTTTACATATACATTATGTGCAACTGTAATATAAGAATATACTAAATATATGTAAAGATATAATTTCAGAGCTGGAAAAATGTTTACTAAGTAATCACTTACAGTAATGTACTATTGTACTTGCATTGCATGCTCATTTGTTTCATAATAATAATAATAATATGGACATTTATTATTTATTATGCATACATGTATTTTGCCATGTTGAAGCATTGCCAAGATTTATAGTCAAATATAAAACTTTATTACGTTCAAATGTATGGGTCGTTTCAAACTTTCCATCACACTCTTTGGACACTTGTTCTAATCGAAATATGTAAAATTTATGAATTCCTCAACAGTAACAGCTTTTTGGCAATTTTTCTATCAACATATTTTAGGACATTTTCTTTGAACCAAAAAAAAAAAAGACAACAAATGACTAGACACATCTTATCAATGTTTCATAATTTATTTCAATTCCATCAATATTTATGTAAAAACTGTTAACAATCTTTGCAGTTCAAGTTAAATTGCATTTGTAAATTACAACATACATGTACCATAGTTCTGATTTCACTGGCAGTGGCAAGTACCGGTTTTAGAAAAAGTACCCGGTAATCTACTTGTAGATAAATGTCATTGACAAAATGGTAGTACGGTAATACATTTTACGTAATGAATGAAATCAAATTAAACAGAGAAGAATATAATTTATTTGGCAGTTTTGGTATGAATTTGTTGTTAGGTTTCTCTTTGAAATTTGTATTGTTCTAAACTGATGCTATGCAGACCATGAGCAGTGTTGCTAGTACTACCTAGTATTAGTATTAACAAAGTTTTGAACAGCAATATATTTTTCGGGGAAGTGGAAAATAAACTAAAAGCCACAATATTGATGATTTGATTGGAAGGAGTTTGCACAGTTGATGAAACTCAATAAGACATGTTGAATATAATAAGGTAAATTATGATGAAAGAGAATGGAAGAGTAAGGAGAAAACAACAGGGGAAGAAAAAGAGATTTTTAAGAGGAGACATGAGAACAAAAAACGTGTGTGATGAGAGAGAGAGAGAGAGATAGAGAGAGAAATAGGGAAAAAGGAAGAGTTAAATGAGTGACATGAATATACAAACAGATGGTAACTTAAACAAGATGCAAGAAATTACATAACTTGGGCTTAACAAAACTCGTCTTGATGACGTGCTGAAATATTAAAAAAACGTGGAAAATTGCAATTAGTGTTTTCAAGTTCACCAACAGCATAAATATAAATTAATTGCGCAGAAAAATCACACCCGAACAGTCTCATAGAGGTCTGAAATAAATGTTTTGCAAAAAATAATCAAGAAACAGCAAATTTGAATGCCTTTTGAATCAGCAAAATGGCTATTTTACCATAGTTGGCGCTAGTCTTTTTCAAGGAAATCTTGTTAAAATCCAATAAAACTAATTAGCGGATTAAATTAATTGCGCAGAAAAATCACACCCGAACAGTCTCATAGAGGTCTGAAATAAATGTTTTGCAAAAAAGAATCAAGAAATAGCAACTTTGAATCAGCAAAATGGACTATTTACCATAGTTGGCGCTAGTCTTTTTCAAGGAAATCTTGTTAAAATCCAATTAAACTAATTAGCATGTTATCTCATCAACGGGTGTACGAAATTTGGAGAACAAAGGTGTTTTCTCATCAGCAACTTCATCACAATCATTTGGTATAGTTAGTTTTCTCTGCCAAAGATGGGACTACGAAACTTTTTTTTTAGATGGTTAACTGGCCCTTGCCCCACAGTCTAAGTGTCCTGAGCGCGCGAGCGCGAGAGAGGACGGTTCGTGGTACAGAAATATCCAATTTATTGCAAGAGGACGCTTTACGATGACGTCGTTATTACGTAACCGCGCAATGTTAGACTCTGAAATTTTCACAAAATGTAGGTATTTATTAGTACATGAAAAAATGCAAAAAAATAAAAATTGAAAAAAATGCCGAATTTGGCCAGAGAGGACGGTTCGTGAAACGGGTGATCACCATTCTACAGCTGCTTGTGCGAGACAAGATCGAGGGGCGAGTACAAGGACGTAACTAGACCATTTAGAGCGGGGGGGGGGGGGGGGTGGACAAAATTTGCCGACTAAGTTGGCAAAAATATTAGCAGCAAGCGGAACAAAGACAAGAAAGGCGTTACTTTTTATATGTTTGCCGACATTGGCTGAAAAATTGAATTTGCCAAGAGAATTTTGGAACGGAGATGTAAACTAACACCCCTCCCACTCCCTCCACACACACCCATAATCTCCATCGCTGCCCCTAACGATAACTTGATAAAAGTTGATATACGGTAAACATCGTTATTAATCAAGATGATTGTTCTTGAACTTCAATTTGGGAGCCGGGCGCACATGATCCAAGTGCGGTGACCAAAACTACAGTAATCTTATTTGACAAAACTTAATGATGAGCAATGATAAATTCCTCGTCTGCTTTAATAGAGCTAGAAGGACGCTCATTCAATGTATAAAAGTAACGCCCTTCTGGCTCTCAAATGAATCATTTGAGGTGCATTAGTTGAACCGCGAAGCTATCAAAGCGATTGATCAGCATGACATTTAAGTGCGCCAACTCAGGATAGAATATTGTTCCCCTATAGTTTTGCGCATTAAATTAACCCAGTGGCGTATCCAGTAGTTGAGAAACAGGGGGGGGGGGGTAAATCAATAATGATAAATCAAAATCGATTTTAGCAACTGTCCACCATAAAAAGTATATTCTTATCTCAATTGCATTAACTCCATCACATAGATCACTTGATTAGAGGCATCAAAATACTGACGATCCATTATTACCCCCACATTGTTCTTGTATACATTCGGGTCTCTGAGTTCAAGTAACTTTGTATAATAATACTCATGCACACCGCGGCAGATCCAGAAATCTCTCACGGCAGGGGGGGGGGGCACAAATCCGAAGAAAAAAAATATGGACAAGTATTCCCCCCATCTCGAAAATAAAACCCAGTGTATCACATTCGCAGGCGCTTTTATGAAAATTCCATGCTGATTAGAAGACAAAAAGATAAACAGTGATTAATGTTTTTTCTTCTTCTTGTGCGTGTGTGTGTGTGAGTGTGTGTGTGTTCTTGATGTGTGGGACGTGTCCTGATATTTTGTGCTGTCTGCAACTAAAGGCTATTAATTCACCAGCGATTCTTGAATCATGCTTGAATCCGATGAATCACTGGCAAGCTGCCAGTTGAACGTATTTATTATACACGCTTGATGTACGAAAACTAGTGGGGAGTCAATCTATTTTGACATTCGCTGTGGATCAATGGCAACAACTAACGTACATTGCATGGGAGGGGGGCGAGGGGGGGGGGGGGGTGGGTACACTCCAGTCAGCCCTTGGATATAAAATCATAAATATTAACATTCTAAATATCAACCACGTTATCACTCATTTTACAACTTTTCGTTACCCGTTACACGAACCGTCCTCTCTGGCCAAATTCGGCATTTTTTTCAATTTTTATTTTTTTGCATTTTTTTCATGTACTAATAAATACCTACATTTTGTGAAAATTTCAGAGTCTAACATTGCGCGGTTACGTAATAACGACGTCATCGTAAAGCGTCCTCTTGCAATAAATTGGATATTTCTGTACCACGAACCGTCCTCTCTCGCGCTCGCGCGCTCATCAGGACACTTCGTGGTGAAGAATTTGACGTAAATTGATCCGTCTGCTGCACCACGAAGCGGCCGCTTCCCTGGAAAGTTTGCCCGGATCCAATTATTTCGTAAGTATATGCTCTAAGATCTATTTTCTAAAACATAAAATATTTTCAAAAAACAATAAGAGATTCTTCCTTCGGTTATAGCAATTATATTTTTCTAAAAAGTTCATTTTATCATTAAATTCTCACGAAAAATTATGTTACAGTCCCGCCTATTCAGTTTTTGGTTGGACCTAACACGAAATCCTGTCTGACTGTTGATAATAAGAACTAACTTCAGATCTACTGAAGATATCTGCTTTCTAAGATTATTTAATGAATACTGTCTGTAGATTAGATAAACACAGGAAAAACTAGAACAAGAGCAATTCAACACTAGTAATTTAGGTCTAACTCTAGATCTAGACCTAGGATCTACTTTGTCTTTATCTTACAATACTATTACTAACGACGACGATTTAGGCCTAGACCAGATCTATTTCTGATCAAAGAAAGACACAAATTAGACCTAGATGTAACTTAGTCTTAGTGTAGATCTAGACTAGAGTCTAGCTAGACCATAGTCTGACTAGACCTAGGTCTAGTCCTAACTTTTTCTAGTATTATTAAGATGTATAATGTTACTAACTAACCTATCTTATAGATTTTATCTAGATCTAACATTTGGACTAGATAGTTAAGGTTTTACCTAGGAGCTCCACCATTAGCAGATCTTAAGTCATTTGTGCCCTGCCCATTTCGGGGACCAAAACTGAAAGTTCTATTTTATATGTAATCTAATCAAGATAGTTACAATTAATGTACTGAACAATAGTTGGACTTCATCTAGATTAACCATTTTTTCATTACAAAAAAAATGTCTTATTCAGTCCCAAAAATTGGCAGGGACCAGGGTATTCATGTTCATGTTCTTGTTGACATTTTTATTTATGTACTTGAATGCATGGTGTAGTAAAATTATTGTAACTTTAATCTCTACCTATGTGTCAAATCATTGTGAAACCGATTTGTATATCATTGACTTTTATAATATTTTGTCTCATTTTTTTTCTTGTTTTTATTATCGCAGATGTGGCTGTGCAACTTAGAGAAGGAGATATCTAAAACAAAGCAGGTATGCCAAGACCAAAGAAGAGCAAAGGGAAAAGTGGATCAAGGTAAGAATTCTTATGTTTACCAGAATAAATATTTATAAATAATGAAATGGTGTTAAAAAACAATATATAGGTGATGTCTTTGACTTTATAATTTCAAGTGTTGGGCCAATATTAATGCAGAATAATAATTTCTTCATGAATTATAAAAAATAAGGCTATAATTTCTTTACCAGTTCATCTCTCATGGAACAGCTTAATATGTATGTTTATTACCGAATACATACCGGTATGCAAAATTGTTATGAAAATAAGGTTGTTGAAATCTCTCTTTCTTTTTTTTATTCCTTTTTAGACCGGATAAAGGCTATGATGTTTTGGTGCAATGGCATTTGAATGGTGCAAACAACATTGTTCATTCACCACTCCTTCAGTGGACAGGGAAGATGACAAAAGGGAAAGAGGTGATCATGGACTATGAAGGGACTCTGTGGCAAGGAATCGTTCTCGATTCAGAATATCTTGAAGATTCAGAATCGTCTGATGAGGAATTTGACATCCCCCTGGCACGACTTTCTGACAAATATGCAGGTATTACTCTCCTTTTCCTCTTTTTCCCAATTTGATATCATCTGAGTGTTAACCCGTTCTTGGGAGTATGAGAGTCTCGTCAAGAAAATGTTTACAATAATGAACTTGTGCATGAAAAAATGAACATATTTACAATAATGAATATGTATATACAAAAGAACGTAATTACAATTATGAATAAGAATGTTTGCATTATGAAAGTACAAGAATATAACAACAACAACAATCTAGACCAACTTTCCTACAAGATCTTAATGAGGAAAGACCGAAGCGCATGTTCAATATTATAAATGGATTCTTCTACATTTGTAAGATCTTTTTTTAGGGGGGAGGGGTGGGTGCAGGTTTGGGATGAGTCTTCTATTTGGGGGGGGGGGGAGGCATTGGAACTAGTGTGTATATTTCACTATTGTAGTCTTATTCATTTTTTTTTGGGGGGGGGCATCTTCTTCGGAGAGTTTAAAACTAGTGTTTATATTCAATTTTTGTAATCCTACCCCAGAAGCAAAACTTGGTCCTCTACCCGTATCATCGCCATCACTTCCTGAAGATTCAACAGGATGTGGATCTGGATTGCCTGAACCAATATCCATCGCAAGTGACCAGATAACACAGTCTGATGAGGAATTTGACATCCCCCTGGCACGACTTTCTGACAAATATGCAGGTATTACACTCCTTTTCCCAATTTGATAGATAAGATAAGATAAGATTTTATTAAACTCTATCGAACCCCGATCGGGAGTATGAGAGTCTCAACAAGAACATATTGACAATAATGAATTTGTGCATGAAAAAATGACCATATTTACAATAATGAATATGCATATACAAATGAACTTAATTACAATTATGAATAAGAATGTTTGCATTATGAAAGTACAAGAATATAACAACAACAACAATCTAGACCAACTTTCCTACAAGATCTTAATGAGGAAAGACCGAAGCGCATGTTCAATATTATAAATGGATTCTTCTACATTTGTAAGATCTTTTTTTAGGGGGGAGGGGTGGGTGCAGGTTTGGGATGAGTCTTCTATTTGGGGGGGGGGAGGCATTGGAACTAGTGTGTATATTTCACTATTGTAGTCTTATTCATTTTTTTTTTGGGGGGGGGGCATCTTCTTCGGAGAGTTTAAAACTAGTGTTTATATTCAATTTTTGTAATCCTACCCCAGAAGCAAAACTTGGTCCTCTACCCGTATCATCGCCATCACTTCCTGAAGATTCAACAGGATGTGGATCTGGATTGCCTGAACCAATATCCATCGCAAGTGACCAGATAACACAGTCTGATGAGGAATTTGACATCCCCCTGGCACGACTTTCTGACAAATATGCAGGTATTACACTCCTTTTCCCAATTTGATAGATAAGATAAGATAAGATTTTATTAAACTCTATCGAACCCCGATCGGGAGTATGAGAGTCTCAACAAGAACATATTGACAATAATGAATTTGTGCATGAAAAAATGACCATATTTACAATAATGAATATGCATATACAAATGAACTTAATTACAATTATGAATAAGAATGTTTGCATTATGAAAGTACAAGAATATAACAACAACAACAATCTAGACCAACTTTCCTACAAGATCTTAATGAGGAAAGACCGAAGCGCATGTTCAATATTATAAATGGATTCTTCTACATTTGTAAGATCTTTTTTTAGGGGGGAGGGGTGGGTGCAGGTTTGGGATGAGTCTTCTATTTGGGGGGGGGGGGGGGCACATTGGAACTAGTGTGTATATTTCACTATTGTAGTCTTATTCATTTTTTTTTTGGGGGGGGGGCATCTTCTTCGGAGAGTTTAAAACTAGTGTTTATATTCAATTTTTGTAATCCTACCCCAGAAGCAAAACTTGGTCCTCTACCCGTATCATTGCCATCACTTCCTGAAGATTCAACAGGATGTGGATCTGGATTGCCTGAACCAATATCCATCGCAAGTGACCAGATAACACAGTCTGATGAGGAATTTGACATCCCCCTGGCACGACTTTCTGACAAATATGCAGGTATTACACTCCTTTTCCCAATTTGATAGATAAGATAAGATAAGATTTTATTAAACTCTATCGAACCCCGATCGGGAGTATGAGAGTCTCAACAAGAACATATTGACAATAATGAATTTGTGCATGAAAAAATGACCATATTTACAATAATGAATATGCATATACAAATGAACTTAATTACAATTATGAATAAGAATGTTTGCATTATGAAAGTACAAGAAATAACAACAACAACAATCTAGACCAACTTTCCTACAAGATCTTAATGAGGAAAGACCGAAGCGCATGTTCAATATTATAAATGGATTCTTCTACATTTGTAAGATCTTTTTTTAGGGGGGAGGGGTGGGTGCAGGTTTGGGATGAGTCTTCTATTTGGGGGGGGGGGGGAGGCATTGGAACTAGTGTGTATATTTCACTATTGTAGTCTTATTCATTTTTTTTGGGGGGGGGGGCATCTTCTTCGGAGAGTTTAAAACTAGTGTTTATATTCAATTTTTGTAATCCTACCCCCAGAAACAAAACTTGGTCCTCTACCCGTATCATCGCCATCACTTCCTGAAGATTCAACAGGATGTGGATCTGGATTGCCTGAACCATATCCATCGCAAGTGACCAGATAACACAGTCTGACAGCCATGCAGGTAAAAATATCTTCCAATAATAGTTCATGACTATTCATAATAACATAAAGAAATCAGAGGACTGTCCACAGTACAAGGAAATTATACTGATGATAATAACTAAAGTGAAATTATATTGATACAGTTAGAATGGACAAAAAGCACACTTCATTTTATTGATTGTGTACGTGTTCTGAATATAAAAGGGATTTTCTATTCATTTATTCAATATCCTGATCAATTATTATCACACTTATTGTTTCTGTTGTGCTCAATATAACTTTACCTGTGTCCCGAAAATTATGTCATTACATTCACTATCATTGTTTTCCCTTTGTCTTTTTATCTTCTCCAGATTCTCCGCTCCATCCAAACATGCAGTGTGGTCAGAGAAATCCTGAAACATGTGACAATTTCATGTGTACTGATGAAGTTTGGGCAGCGTGTCCAGAGTGCTTGTGTTTCTTATGCTTCCTTCATTTTAACTTACGTGATGATTGCCTTTGTCATAATCTTGCATTCAATCTCAGTGAAATTCCACTTGACATCAGTTCAAGTGCATCACAGTACCAAGGGCTCACCAACGAAGAAGAAAGGAACAATGAAGACGAGGTTATGCCGTTAATGGAATCAAGAAGAGGAAACTTTGAAAACCAAGCCTCATTGGATACAAGAGTTGAAGAGAACGGAGATCAGGTACTGATGGCGACTCTGGAATCAAAACAATCCGATGCGACCGACTCATTAGATATTCCAGAGCATCTTGAAGAAGCTAGCCTTCCCCAGGAATCAGCTGATAATAGTCAACTGTCTCCTGAATCATTTCAAGTAGATGGGGAAAGAGCATTGGAAGTGCCAGAGCAGCCAAAGACGGTGAAGAGTAGAAATCAATTAGTCAAAGAACGGAGAAATGCTGGTTACAGCTATGAGAGTGAAAAGAGTAAGGAACTAAAAGCGGCGAGGAGATTTGCTAGCTACGAAACCTCATGTGAAAAGTGTCATTTCAGAGGACTTAGTTGCAACACTCGTGAAGCTATTAGATCAGCTTTTTATGACCTTGCTGATCTGACAAAGCAGAGAGAATGGATTGGACGGCACACCGAACAGATTCAAGAAAAGAAGTCAAGAAAGATCAGAAAATGTGCGTATTTCCTGCCCAATGCAGGTGATCCATGCATTAAAGTTCGTGTATGCAAAGCGATGTTCGTGGGAACATTAGGTATATCAGAGAGGCAAGTGAAGACCGTGCTTGGAAAGAAGAGACCATACGGCTGCCTTGAAGGTGAAGGAAGGGGTGGCAGGCAGACGTCTGACAGAGACGCTCTATTACGTGAAGGGGTGAAGCGGCACATTAATCAATTTCCGCGTCAAGAATCTCATTATTGTCGGGCCAACAGTCGATGTGAATACCTTTCAGAAGATCTCAATCCTGAGATCATGTATCGCATGTACAATTCATCTACAGAAGGTACAGAGGAATGTGCTTCTTTATCTCTTTACAGGAAGGTTCTGAAGAAGATGAATATCAAGTTCCATCATCCGAAAAAGGACATGTGCCCCTTGTGCGAAACCTACAGACGTGGGAATCCCAAAGAGAGGGAGAAATTGCAGGGGCATACAAAGTTCACATTGCTGAAAAAGAAAAAGTAAGAGAGTTGAAGAGTCTTGCTAAGGAAAGAGCTTCAGTTGACCACACATTTGTCTCTGCAGTTTTCGATCTGGAGCAGGTCATTTACTTGCCGAAGTCCCCACAATCTGACATTTTCTACAAACGTAGACTCAGCAACTACAACTTCACGATATAATGAACTTGCAAGCAAGGACGGATGGTGCTTTCTTCTCACACGAGTGCGAAACAAAAAGAGGATCCTGTGAAATTGCCTCACACGTCCATCGGTACCTTAACAGTCTAGATGAGAGGGGTGTGAAACAAGTAGTGTTCTACTGTGATGGCTGTGTCGGTCAAAATAAGAACTCTATCATCCCAACAATGCTGCAACATTTCATCGGAAAGGCTAAGTCCGTTGAATCGGTCACAGTTAATTACTTCCCTACAAACCACGGACAAAGTGAGGGTGATGCCATGCACAGCGTCATAGAACGAAGCATTAGACGTGTGAAAGAAGTCATGGTACCGACTCAATTGAGCACCATTTGTGCGATGGCTCGTCTTCACCCCCATCCTTATCATGTAGTAGAAGTCCAATCAAGAGATATTGATGATTGGAAGTCTGTTGGTCAACAGAAAGGTATTCTGCGAGTCCGAACCTCTGAGGGTGGACAAACCGTAGACTGGAAGAAATTCATGGCTATGAAGGTCGTGAAAGGTGAAGTGGATTCCGTGTACTTCAAGTATTCTCACACTGATGAAGAATTTGATGTGATCAGGACAAACCAGACACGGAGAGGTGTAGAAGAGGTCACTGAAGTAACACCCGAGCCTCTCTACAGGAATGGCCCACCAAAGCTATCTTTGGGTAAATATCAGGATCTCAAGGCCCTCTGCAGCGGCACTACACCTGCAGTCTGGCACCCACTCCACCAGGCTTTATGATAAGCTGCCTCACTACTAAACTATGCTACCCAAATGATATCAGTTAATTAATGCTTTCATATTCTTTGTTTCCATAAAAGTAATCACTGACCAGTTCATATCTGAAATGTAGAGTTGAATCTGCTAGATTGTGACGAGCTGTGTTTGTCATTATGATACTTTGCGTATTTTCATATGAGCGATTTCAATTTTTGTTGAAAATCAAATCTTAAAAAAAAAAGAACTTGTTTATAAATGATTCACAATTGAGACTAAAAAAATACTTTTGCATGACATCGAAACGAAAATTACTTATTTCATTGGTATGAGATGTATCTAGCACAAGAGATAATATATCAATGACATATTAATTAAATGATTTGTATTGAATGATGCATTCTTTGGGATATTACATTCATAGTTACGAAATTAAGCTGGCTCATTTTATTTATTTATTTTTTTCATCTGTAAATATTGAAGTTTTAATATAAGGAATAGACTATAGAGATGAAATTATCAAATGAATTGACGAGAAATAATCAATTCTTTTGAATATTGTGTCAATATGATATTTATTGTACTCAAGACAAGTGATATTTTACCATTTCCATCTGTAAATAATGCAGTTTAAAAACAAAATGTAATACACTGAAATAATTAAATGAATTGACGAGAAATAATCAATTCTTTGAGATATTGTGTCAATATGATATTTATTGTACTCAAGACAAGTGATATTTTAACATTTCCATCTGTAAATAATGCAGTTTAAAAAACAAAATGTAATACACTGAAATAATTAAATGAATTTATGAGAAATAATACATTCTTTTCAATATTATATTTCTATGAGATGTATCTGGCTCTTTCAGAACATTGGTATTTCTTATCTGTAAATGATACAGCTTTAAAGAGAAAAAAATTATATGAAGATGAAATGATTTGATAACATGTGTTGAAGATAAATGATGTTTTCTTTGGAATAATACATTCCTATGAGATGTATCTGGCTCATTCCTTTTTTTATCTGTAAATAATGCAGTTTAAATAGAACTCTGAATTTACTACGGATATGAAATAATTACAATAATTAAAAATAAATAATGCATTTGTTAAATGATGTGTTGAAATTTAATATTTATATCCGTCAATAATGCAGTTTAGAAATAACATAATGAAGTAAACTTGGAAATGGAAAATACGAGATGTATCAAGGACTAGAATTTAATGTTTCTATCTGTAAATAGTGTAGTTTAAAAAAAATAACAATGAAGTATACATTGGAAATAGAATACTACATGAATGGAAGAAAAGTGATACATAATTTTAAATATTTCATTATTGTGATGAATCTGACTAAAGAGATCTTGGTGAAATTTTGATATTTCCATCTGCAAACAATGAAGTTTAAACAAGATTCTATGGAAATCAAAATGAATAGAATGTGGAAAAGTTATATTCCTTTTGAATATTCCTAAGACATGTGCATAATTGAATATATTTCATGCAGAGTTGTGAGGATAGGATTATTAAAATCCTCTAATTTGATGTCCAATATATCACTTTTTCATTAATAGAGACAAAGGTTTTACTTTATACAACTGATATAAAAGTCAAATCACGAGGACTTCTTGATGACTGGATATGAAGAAACAAAAAAAAACAAAAATTGAAATAACATTCCATCATTGTCCATTCTTTTTTGTCTCGATGAGATCTAAACAAACATTATGCCAAAATGTCAATGTGTGTGATTTTTTTTTAAAGGAATTGTAATTCGTCTTGCCTATTTCAGATTTTGTTCTGTCTGTAAATATTTCTGTTAAATATGTTGCAAATACTATGGAATGAAATAATATGATGATTATTAAAAGATAAAAAGACACAATTGATAAATAATCTATGTTTGTTTATTTTTTTTAATATTTGAAGCAGGCAATGGACGTGTGTATCTAAATCCTTTGTTTCCATGCATGTCTGATTTATCTGATTTTCTTAATTAAAGTGCCTTATGAAATTACTGCAGACAAATTTAAAAAAGAAGAAAGAACGGAAGAAATAAAGAAGAGAAAGAAGAAATTTGGTAAAGAAAGCAAGGAGGAAAAAGAAAGAAAGAAAATGTAAAGAGAAGGAAGGAAGGCAGACGAAAAAGTAAAGGAAGGAAGGAAGGCAGAAAGAAACAAAGAAAGAAGAAGCAAAGAAAGAAGAAGCAAAGAAAGAAAGAAAGCAAGATTTACTATCAATCCAGAATTGGACAATGTTAAAAGAAGAGCATTTTGATTTCGTCCAGTAAGATAGCAATACTAATAAACTAACTAATAAATTTCAAATAAAAGAAAAAAGAAAAGAAAAAGACAAATTATTGCATGCAATGAACTGATTTCCAATAAACGAATTTTGCCTGTTATTCAGTACAAAAAAAAATCAATATTGAATTAAAATAACTATGAATGCTCACAGATCATACTTTAATTGAGATTTTCTTAAATATTCATTCGGTTTGTACACATCTTGTTAAGAGCGGACGGTTCGTGGTGAAATGGATTACTGTTGTAACGGAATTCATCTTTTTCACGAACCGTCTTCTCTGTTTATGAGGCAGTACGGACAAAAAATATTTCATCATTTTTTGAAGAATTGATATTGAGTGAGAGTAGATGTGTCATTCTTTACTCTCATCATCACCCGGATTATTTCAACATCCCTAAAATGTTTAAAAATGTGAATTAGAAAACCGATGTCTGTAAACAACACTTTCCGATTCTCAGTCACTTCATCTTCCATTCATTTTGTACGGTTTTCAGTTGCGCGTAATAGGAGCGGACGGTTCGTGGTGAAAATAGCAATGCGCATTGTGCATTTCATCTTTTCCACGAACCGTCCGCAGGAGAGCGGCCAGTTCGTGGTAAAGACGCGAGGCGCGATCGCGCACTATATCTGTTCCACGAACCGTCCTCTCTGTTACAATGCTCGCTGTGGCGTAAATAATTAAGTTCAAGAAAATATAAAGATATGGGATGTAACTTTGGGACCTGAACTATCGAATGAAGTCATCGGTTTTTAATTTGCTCTACTTTTAGTTATAATTATTGCCGGTTTAAAAAAGCTTTTCTTTAAATGCGTTTTCTGCGAAACTAACTTTCGCATCAAAGTGCGCAGAGAGGACGGTTCGTGGTGCAGGCGACGATTTGATAACTGCACTCGGATAAAAAAAAAAACTCATTTTCTTCTACTTTCAACAGTGATATGCTGGTTTCAATACTCTTGTTTCGTGCGTATTGATGATATTTTAACACAAATGTTTCAGTACTAGTATAGTACAGTCCAGTTAGGATGAGAATATTGATATTACATTTCTTCGTACTATGCACAAGTCATATTACACTGGATATGAGGCTGCCTCTTGAACGCCCAAACTCTTGTGCGTAACAGTGCCCGCACTATTAGACTACAACATGCATGTTTAGGCTCTGTACTTTAGCCGACAGATCTAGGCTCTGCTCAAGGAACCGTGGTAAAGTGTGAAATTAGAGCCTGTGCTTGTAGAGTAGCCTCAGCCCCCCCCCCCCCCCCAAGTGCGATATTATTGACCCATTTCAATGCAGAGGTCGGGTCTATCTTTGAGCAAGGTCCAGTGCTTTCAATGTTTACATTCGGTGGGACTGTAGTCTTCTCTCAGGAGACCTTATACGTTTGTGCGACCGGATCAGAGCTCAAACCTCAGGCACACCAGGCAGGGAGGTTTAAACTCCACCTCCCTGGGCACACGTACCGCCAGACCGACTCCACGAATGAAGGGAGGAAAGGAGAAAAGGAGGTAGTGAAGAGAGAGAGAGAGAGAGAGGGAGAGAAAGAGAGAGAGAGAGAGAGAGAAGAGAAAGAGAGACATACAGAGAGAGAGACAGACAGACAGAGAGAAACAGAGAAAGAGGGATGAGAGAGACGGAGACGGAGACAGAGAGAGAGAGAGAGAGAGAGATAGGGAGGGAGACAGACAGAGACAGAGAGTCAGAAAGACATGCAGAGAGAGAGAAAGAAAGAGGGGGGATGTCCGGATGGATATAGCCTGGCTCCAATGCGAAGATAAATTTTCTCACTTCTGCTAGGGTTAGTCATTAGTCTGAAATCTATAGATTTAGAGTTTTGCAGACTATACTCTTGGGAAATGAATAAACGGGAAGTCTAATTATACTTCTGGACTTTGTATCAAACAGTTTAATTGAGAACAGACACACACAAAAAACGCTCCACCTGGAAGTAGAGATGGAATATCGACTATTACTAGTTGTCAATCTCCATTGTGACAAAAGTATGTGTGCCTGTTATGTACTGTATGTTGTAGAATGCCATGTACATAGCCTTACAGTTCAGACCCTCTACAACTCGTCAAGACTCGAACACTTTACGTAGAGTTTGAGTCTGCCCATGGAGTTACTCGTAACTCCATGATCTGCCATACCGCAAGCTCTTACCATGGAGGCTATGGAATTGAACCCATTATGGAATGTATCAACGCCAAATTTATGACGTTAAACTGGGGCGCTATAACTATTTTACTACAGATAGTATTTACCCACGTTGCGGTCAACTTTACAATCAAAATGTACTAAATTATGTTTGGTAAGGGCTTCCGTCCCAAAATATATAAATATTTGTAACTCAGTAATTGTTCATATGATCGATCATGCAGGTGGTGTAGTAGAGAGGCCGGGTGTTGAGCCCTCGAGTTTTGTGGAGGGATGCCCCCACCCCCCCCCCCCCCCCCCTCCAACGTTAATCTTCGCTCAACTACAGACACAACGGCTCTCCATGTGCCTAGATTAAAGATAAACTTGAGTTCTGGTAAAAAAAAGACAATGAATTCTCACATAATCTAGCGAAACTTACACTGAATGTTCAAGATTACAAATAAATGTCATGTGCCAAACAAATTTGGAAGAAAATATATACTGGCTGAGTAATGAGCATAGAAAGATAAGGAAATCAGGGTAGTACTAGCCCCGACCCATGTGTGTTGTCCCATATACATCTTTCTGTGTAAGTGATTGTTACTTTACCAAGACTCTGCCAAATTTATGATGATCTTGATGACTCCAGAACCATTACTTACATGCTATATGATCAACTTTTCTGATCCATTCCAACCTTTTCTTTCACAATGCAATCGCATTACCAGAACTCAAGTTTATCTTTAAAATCGAAGATAGGTGAGCGAAGTTTTCACTACAGTGGTCCGGTTACATGGAATAGGTTACCTTGTGAATTACGCTGTAGTATGTCAATTTAAGTATTTAAGAAACATCTCAAAACACACCTATTTAAATTGTAATTAACTGCATTACATTTTTTAGCATATTTTTGTTGAGTTTTAATTCATTGATGTATTTGTTTTGTAAAGCGCTTTGATCAGTTGTAAACTGATATAGCGCTATAAAAGAAACAATTTATTATTATTATCATTATTAATGTTCAGATACGCCATCGATTCTTAATTGTACTTTTTTTTTTAAACTGATTTCTTGAAATTGTCTTGAGGACGTGTCCACCCACCTCCTGCTAATAATAATTTTCTTCAATTTATGTTAGAGAAAGCACTGTATGCCGCAGCGTTGTCATTTAAAAGTATGTGAGTTTCGGATTTTGAACTCTCAATGCACAGTAATGAAGTCGACCGCGAAGTTCTGTCCACTTTCTTTGTGACGTCAATCATCAAAGTAACCCCTCATGAATATGCAACATAAAGGATAATACGCACTCTCATTGGCCAAAAGTTTGATTATTACGTCAGTTAATTAGTCATATGAATGCGCATGCGCATGCGCGTCCACTTGGACTGCGTGGACGCGTGACTGGAATCTTGGCAACAAACATCATGAACAGCTTCTAGCTATAAATCTGTGAAAATGATTAAAACTTTAGGTGCAAGGCTTACCAAAATTTCAGCTCTTTAGATTCACTTAAAGACAATAAATCATCAAAAAATGGAAACAAAATTGGACGGTTTCTCGATAGAACAGGTTGAATGACAATGTGGTAATGCATGAACCAATCAATAATATTGTAATCAGTGCTTGTTCATTTTCTCTTCCTGTACTAAAAGTGATATTTCATTGTAGAACTTTATAGATCTAGAACACACATTCCGAAATAGGCCTACATGTACAATAGAACCTGAAACAATACTTTGACATAAACGACTGCCGCACACGAGACCGCGACGGCATAAGTGACCGACTGCTCACGAGACCGACTACCCATCACGAGGCCGGTATTGTCCGACATTACACATGACATTCCTTGCATGCATATTCACATAATATTATTTACGCTACAGGCAAGTCATTTTTTTTATCATGTATTGAGGAAAACTTCTTCTTCCGTTATTCCAATAGTCGAGTGATGGTTCTAAAATGAAAAAATATTTTCTATTAGGATCATCATTTTTATTACGATTGTTACCCAGCCCCCCCCCCCCCCCCCCCCCCCTAACTCCGAGAACGGACGGACCCCATGCGTGTTACAAAAATGTCCTTTTCGTAACAAAAGAAAAAGGTCGACCCGTATTAACTTTACACACCGGGCTTTTGCTGA